TCTGAGACTGGTCAGCTGAAATTAGAAATTGCTGAGCTGAAAGAAAATAATTTTCCAATGAAAATTGAATTGGAAAAAGCTCAATAAAAATCTGAAACAGATATTACGTCTAGCTCTAAAAATATTTTAGAAGAGTATGACCATAGTTTTCAAAACTTCCTATACAGAAGCATAGACAGAAGCAAATGGCTTCTATGATCTATGGTATGAGCAGGAACAACAGAAAAGGGATTGGATATGAATCATCTTCTGGGAAGGAATCAAATCCAAAACCTGAGTTAATTATCAATTATACTCCTCTGTATTCTCATTTTAAATTTGGTCACTCACATGACATAAAGTACACACGTTTAGATCAGAACACCACAATTTTTAAGTTGCGTCAGAACACAACTGCTTTTAATGGACAGAAGTTCAGGCAGAACTTCAAAACAACTAACTTCAGAGGATCCAAAAAGATATGGGTACCTAAGGATAAAATAATTTATGTTGCAGATGTCCTTAGCAGCAAGGTTGAGACACCAGTCCTGGTACCTGGACTCTAGATGCTCACGACACATGACGGGAAGAAGGTCTATGTTCCAAAGTTTGGAACTTAGATCTGGTGGAGACGTGAAGTTTGGAGGAAACCAAAAGAGCAAGATCATTGGCTCTAGAACAGTTGGTAATGGTAACCTCCCTTATATCTCAAATGTTCTACTTGTAGAAGGATTAACTCATAACTTGTTGTCCATAAGTCAATTAAGTGACAATGGTTATGATATTATCTTTAATCAAAATTATTACAAAGCTGTTAGTCAGAAAGATGGATCAATCCTCTTTAATGGTAAAAGAAAGAACAACATTTATAAAATAAAACTTTCAGAATTGAAAAGTCAAAATGTTAAATGTTTTATGTCTGTTAATGATGAGCAATGGGTCTGGCATAGAAGACTGGGACATGTTAGCATGAGACGTATATCTCAGATTAACAAGCTCAATTTGGTCAGAGGACTTCCTAAGTTGAAGTTCAACTCAGATGCTCTTTGTGAAGCATGTCAGAAAGGAAAAATTTCAAAATCCACTTTCAAACCAAAGAATGTTGTTTCTACTTCTAGACCATTAGAGCTTCTACACATTGATCTTTTGGACCGTGAAAACTGCATCCATCAGAGGCAAGAAGTATGAACCTGTCATCGTTGATGACTACAGCAGATGGACATGGGTAAAATTCCTAAAGCACAAGGATGAAATCAAGTCCTAAAGCAGAATGTTGTTTCTCACTCTGTATTTTTTTATTTCTGCAATCAAGTCCAAAATGAAAAGAAATTTAATATTGTCAAAGTCAGAAGTGGTCATGGTGGTGAATTTGAAAATAAATCATTTGAAAAATATTTTAAAGAAAATGGCATTGCACATGATTTCTCTTGTCCTAGAACTCCTCAACAGAATGGAGTTGTAGAACGAAAGAATAGAACATTGCAAGAAATGACCAGAACCATGATCAATGAGACAAATATGGCTAAACATTTTTCAGCAGAAGCAATAAATACAACGTGCTATATTCAGAATAGAGTCTCTGTAAGACCTCTTCTAGAGAAGACTCCTTATGAATTGTGGAGGAATAGAAAGCCCAATATTTCATATTTCCATCCTTTTGGATGTATTTCTTTTATTCTAAACACTAAAGATAATTTGAACAAATTTGACTCTAAAGCACAAAAGTGTTTTATGCTTGGATATTCTGAACGCTCAAAAGGCTACAGAGTATACAATACTACATGAACAGGATGATGCTAGCTTCAAAATCTCTATTTGCAACAAATTTATCATTTCACAAATGAGTTGTTAAATACTTTGTTTTGAATTACTATTAGTGATTTAGATATTGATGAAGAATTTGATGAGGAGGTAATCAAAGAAGTGGTAGCCGACTATGATAGGTATAAGCATTTTGATTGGAATGTTCACATGAATGAGATGCTTAAGGCTCTTTGTCCGTCGGATTGTTATGATCACATTCCCATAGGACAATTGAAGATGCTACCTAGGATTCTATTGTGGATTGCGTCTAACATCATGCGTCCTAAAAATGGAGGCTTCTCAAGATTTGATTCTCTTGGAATTCATCTCATTTATGTTCTGCTACACAAGATTAAGATAAGCAGACCATATTATTTTGTGCATCGCATGTTCATTGTCAGGTTGTGCAACAAATGTACGTCATTGTGCTATCCCTCCATGATTGCCAAGATTATGAATAATTTTATTATTGGTCTGACAAATCTTCTCTACAAATCACCTAGCTCGTCTTAAGATTTCTCACAACATACTCTTTCAAACATGAATTACTTTAGGGATATTAATCAACATGCACATTATCTTCGATGGGGTAAGAACGGAAGGAAGATTTTTAACTTTGATGATCTAAATGCGATTGATGAAGAGGGTGAAAAAAATTATATGGATGATGAGCAGCTTGCTGAGTCTTGGGGGCAGCAGTTTCGTGTCAGCCAAAGATCCAATGAATCTTTGATACGCGTCGACCAAAGTTCCATTAACACGAGACTCGTTTATCCAATCCGATATATCAGGCCCAAAATATAAATATCTTCACAAAAGATTTTCAAGTACACATTCTCTAATCTCTATTTTTACTACTACTGTCTTGAATCATAAACTGACTTGGGTGTTGGAGTACTAACCATGTACTGTTAGAACACAGATTGGTGTTTCTTATATCTCTATGTTTTGATGATAACTTTTATGGAATTTTGTATTAAGAAAATATATAACTCTAAAATTTGTTCAAGTATTATTGTTTCAGGTATTAAATTAAAAGACTTTTAAAGAAGCAAAATACATAAGTACAAGAAACTATGCAAGGCTCTGAAGCATCAGATGCAAGACTATCAGAAGATTCTGAAGCGCTACCAGAAGGATCTGAAGCAGAAGCTACAGAATGATCTGAAGTGTTAATGAAAGAAGTGTACAAAGAGTTGAAAGCTTTGATCTAATCAGACTCTGAAGTTCGTTTCACTGTAAAAACAGAGGCTTTGATAATCAGACTCTTATCATTAATATTCACGCTCAAGCACATACTGCTGCATACTCTGATGAAGACTCTGATCAAGATTGAGACTCTGATACATAAAGATCTGATCATCTATCATGGCTCTGAACATCTCAATTCTTTTAGCTCTGATCATCTTAAAGTTTTTCATTTCTTTAAAGCTTGCTACAAGTTCTGAAGTGCAGATTATGAAGACTTCATCCTGAAGGAAACTTGTTGAAGAAGCTGTAAACTTGATTGGACGTGGTGCTACTTCCAAAGTAACCAACAGCTATTTTGTCCAAAGAAGTGACGTGGTGCAAATCCGAAGACTTCTACAACCATACTTTTCCTGCAGAAAGCATATCTCTCCCCATACTTTTTGGTAATGAAAAGTCTTATATTCTAATATAGTATTCAGCTGCACATCACTAAAAGCATATTGGAAAAGCTATAAAAGGAGAACTTCTACAACATTGTGAGGTTGGTCATTTCCTGCTCTCACTTGCTCATTGCTAGTTCACTCAGAAAGAAATATTCATAAACGCTTGATTCATCAAAGTGAAAATCTCACAAAGATCTTATTCATTTGTTCTTTTATAAAACTGTATAGTTTTATTTGTACTTAATCTTAAGTGTAAATATCACAGTTGTGATACAGCTTATTAGAAGCAATCAAACACTTGTTAGTTTACATTAATTTGTAAGAAGTTCCTTAAGAAGACCAAGGTGTGGTCAGTAGTTCTTGAGAAGACTAAGACAGTTGTTCTTAGTGCTTACTATTGTAATCAGTTGATTAATAGTGGATTAAGTCCTTGTTGAAAAAGGCAAATCATCTTTGATAAAGTGGACTGAAGTAGTTGAGTTCAACGAAACAGGATAAAAATCTTGAGCTGTTTTTATTGCCATATTTCTTAAAACTCTTATTCAACCCCCCTTCTAAGTGTTTTTCTCACCTTCATGTAGGTACCCCATTTATCTAACAAATCGGAGAGCGGCAGTGTTATATCAAGATCAATGTCTCTGGTTCAAGAAGCACCATAATCAACACCTTCAATCCACGGTGTCTCATCACTATAGTGCTCAAGAAACTTTGCTCTACCGTAATTTCCATAATCATTTCTATTTCTGATTCTACAACGGAATAATAATCAATAATTTTATTAATCGTATATAATTAAACATAATATTTAAGCATTTATAGTTTTAGTCATTGAAATGTATGTCTGCTGAGTGATAAAAGGGCAAAGAATACATACCTTAGAAGAAAAAAAGAAAAGAAAAGGTAAAATAATAATTTCAATTGTTAGCTTTGAAGGTTATTAATGTAATTTTAATTAAAATAATGCATGCTTTTCGTCTGGTTTAAGGAGGAAACGCAAAGCCATTATTATGTTTCCTTTTCTTTTCAAATAAACGAAGGAAGAAATACCAATCCTATAACTTTCTCTCCTTCATCAATCTTTCCTTCTACTTTCATGCAAAACAAACAAACCTTGTGGGAAAACAAATAGCAATTAACCTATTTATTTATTTATAAAATGAATAGAGTTAGATAAATCTTAAATTAATTACTTTCTTATGTATTTTTGCAAGATACACTTGATCAAAATAAAAGTGTATTAATGTCTTATACGACCATCTAAAACAATACAAAGATTGTATTGAATCGCGTTTGGCTTAATCTGTTATTCAATCTATGTATATTTTAATGAGTAGAGTTCATCATGGTCAAAACCGAATGTACAATTAATCTTACAAACAACATTAAATCTATGTTATCTAATGCCTCTTTCTAACACTATCCAATTACTTTCCATTTAAAACTCTCCTAAATATGAGAAACTCTCTCACTTTCTCTCAACACATTTGTTTACCAGTGACGATTCAGTACATCTGTTGAAATCATTGTCACAAGTTTTCTTGAAGGAAAGAAAAAACAAAGTTTACATACTATCCATTGTTGTGGTCATAAATGGTCAGTATTCATGTTATATTTAATCTTATTGAACAGACTGGTGAGGTCAAAAGACCAGGTAGACTTGAGCCGACTCTGAATAACTTCAGCAGCTTTACCCTCATGCTTTACCCCACTATTCACAACAAGTAAGTCATCAGCTTGCTTTAACAGTGCTAGAGCTTGATCGTTGAGAGACGCATAACTTGTTGAATAGGTTGAGAGTGTTTCCTCCTGATCCTTGAGATTCAGCACAAGTTGTTCAATGTCTCTTTCTTTGATACATATATGTATTCTTAAAGTTGCAATTTCTGTCTCTAACTCCTTCTTCCTCCTATTTTCAGACTTGATGCCCAAGGAAACCTTTTTCATCGAGGTTTTGAGGTCCTTCCTTTGACCCTTGCCTGCAAGAGTCTCCTGCTGAATTCTAGCTAGATGCCTCTCAAAATCCTTCAATTTGTTGACAGACTCAGCCGCAGATTGGAATTCTTGAAATGATAAAAAGGCCTTTCTCTTGAACTCCACAATAGCTTCCTTCACCTCGAAAGTAACCTTGGGGTGGCTACTTGAACTGAGAACATCCAACAGTTGACGAAGTCCAGATTGTGCATCAGGATCAGAAGAGACTTCAGATAAGTCCTTAACCATTAACTGATCCAAGGATTTAATAGTCTCTCTAATTGATTCAAGTGAAGCATCCCTAGAATGTGACGCAGATGATACGGTTTCCTTGGCGCTAATACCGAGTCTTCTATCAATACGGTCAAAGGGATCATCTGAGTCAGAACCTTCAGATGAAGAGGATTCTTCAGATTTAAGTTCACACGAGGATACTGCTTCCGATTCAATATCATCACCCACACAAAAACTTTGAATGACGGGAGGGCTATTTGAAATAGTCGTGTGATGAATATCCTCCTCTAGAAGACTCTTTGAAGTTTCTCTTACGACACCTTCCAAAGACCTCTTAGCTGGAAGTGTAGGTTTATGGCCTGGACCTTTTCTCACGTCAGTAATTGTAGATTCAAGTTGGGTCGATGAGAGAATTGATGAAGATAAATTTTCTGTCTGGTCTTTCTGGTATATCCCTGCCGCTATCTGAAAAATAAATAAAACAAATACAGATTTAGCTAGATAAGATTGTAGTAAATGAGAAAAGAACAGAGAAGAGTTTTTTCACCTGGCCTCTTTGGTGTGCTTCCGTTGAATTTGAATTCAAATTCACACTTAGCAATGACTGCGGGGGATTGTTGAATCGGATATTTGCCATACAACTATCTTGTAGATATACATGCATTCCACTATATTTCGCAACCCCTTTGATTGGTACCCCATTGTTGTTAATATGATCCGCATACGAAACCAACACATGATTCCAGTTATTGTATGAATAGACTACATCCTCTTTATCTTCAAATTTTAGCAACCGTATGTCAAACAAAAGTATGTGATCTGTTGCTATCCTGAACTCATGGACTTTCCGATTTCCAAGGGATTTTTTATTGCCATTGATGAACACTCTCGGGCTAAACTTTATAGTGATAGGTTGCTCACCCATCGATTCAATAACAAGACACAGAGAAATTACTGGGAATTTGTTTCGAAACCAGAAAGATATTGATCCTCCATTTACACGGTGTGTAAACCAATCTGGAATTTTCGTTCCTGGTAAAGAAAACATCTTGTTTCCGGCTTCTACCGATTCCTGTCAGTAAAAAGTTCAGAAACAAAAAAAAAAGTTCAGAAACTGTTAAAATTTCTCTAAGTAATAACTAACATTAAATCAATATGAAGTAGAGTGGCATAACCACTAAAATTGATTAAAATTTATGAAGGAACTAAACTTAAATTTTTTAAAGACTAAAAACATGTTTATCACTCATTTAAATATATTAATTAATAGGAATAAAAAAAGAACCTGATTCACAAACATGCTTGTAGACAATGATGTACAGTTTTTTGCAGAGAAGCTTTCCAACTTTGGCAGAACCCCTATAACTTGTTTTAAAAATGAGCAACCATCCAAAAGAAGCTCTCGTATCGACGAGGGACGTTCTCCTGTGAAGTCCAGGTATTTCAAGGACGTGCATCCTTGTGCAGAAAATGATTCTAGCTTCCATGGTAGCCCTTTAATTTCTTGTATATTCTTGCAATCATCCAGCTTAAGGTTCCTAAGAAAGGGGCACTCTTTGATGCTCGCATGAAGAATTTCAAAATTATTACCCGAGAGGTCCAAATCTTTCACATTGGCAAACCAAGTAAGACCTATTGGAAGTAAGTCATCTGATATGTTGCAATATGACAGAATAAGATGCTCAGTCTTTGATGACTTGGACTCGAAATTTTCACCTGTGTCCGGTTTGGATAAACACAACCTTTGGCATTTTGAAACACACATCGAACTAAGTTCTGCCAACATGGCTATGCTACTTGGTAACTGAATCATTCCACATATGTGTAGTTCTAATTTTCGAAGCCGAATAAGGTTTTGAATTGAAAATGGTAATTCTTTAAGGGGACTTGCCATTATATGAAGCTCTGTCAGGTTTTCCATCTTCCCCAATACTTCTGGGAAACTCTCAAGAGCTGAGCAATGTGAAAGATTGAGTTGTTCAAGAGAGGTCAATCTGATTGGTGGTAAAGCACCAAGCTTCTGGCAATGAACAACATCCAATATTCTAAGTTTTTCCAGAAGTCCGACTGATTCGTGAATCTGAGTTAAATTTTCACAATGTTTTAAAGATATTTTTTCTAAATTTGGGAGGCCAGATACATCAGATATATGAGTTATCCATTCACAGTAGCTGAAATCCAAAACTGTCAGACTTTTGAAACCCTAAAATGCAAAAAAAATAGAAGATCATAAGAATTTAAACTGAATTTATTAGTATATAAGGAAAGTACACAAACTCAAACAAATACTTGCCTGAATTGGTTCACTTATCCTTAGGCGACTCTCGGATAACTTGAGTATCACCAGTTTCTTTGGATGAAAACCATCAGGTAATGACGATGAAGGATATCCCGACCATTCCAACACTCTTAAACTATTGGGAAGATGTGTTGGGCCTTTGTTAAGACGAACATTTCTAATAATAAGTGTTTTAAGGTTTTGCATCTTCTTTAAGGCCTCTCCATCCCAATTTACTTCTTCGCCATTTGAGTTTATTCCATCTTTGGGGAAATCCAGCAATAAGCTTTCAACTGTATTAGAACCCTTTTTAAGATAAATAAAAGTACAGGTCAATCGCAATAGAACTATATTTGTTGCATTGGTACTGTCAACAAAAGATTAGAAACAAAGAGATATTTATCTTATTTTCTTGCCTATGTAACAGTCAAAATAAATCAAGGATACAACAAATGAAAAATCAAACCACCCTATAGCAGTCAATTACTTACAGATTTATCTTGTAAAACTTGAACAACATCTTGTGGAAGCCATAACCTACTTCGTTTCCCAGGCACATCTGGTGATTCCTGTCGGACAATTTCTCTACCCATGTCTTGTATCAAGTCGTGTAATGTGACAAGACCGTCATCAATCTTTACGAGAGATCTTTCAATCAACACTCCTATACTATTTTTCACAGATAAACCATAATGAGCCCCAAGTATGTCTTCCACTTCTACCAATTTATGTCCATTGAAGAAACAAGCAATATCACAAAAAATTCTCCGCTCTTCTTCCTCCAAGGAATCAAAGCTTATTTTGAGTACCCTTAGGATATTTTTATCAGGAATTTTTTCGTACTCATCCAATGCATCATTCCATTCGTTTATAAGTTTTCCAAACAAGTAGGAGCCTAATACTTGCAAAGCCAGTGGAAGCCTAGAAGCATAGGTCAATGCACGATTTAAAACGTGTGCATATCTTTGATCAACTGCTTTGTCGGTCTTGAAAGCATTCCAACTAAGAAGAGCAAGCGCTTCTTTTTCACTTAATTCCTCTACCTCATATGTTCTTCCAAATCCAAATCCACCATCATGTTTTGCCAGCAAATTATTGTCCCGGGTTGTAACGATGACTCTGCTGCCAGGACCAAACCAATCGGATGCTCCTGCAATAGCTTGAAGCTGCTCCATTTTGTCAACATCGTCAAGAACCAATAGAACCTTTTTCCGGGATAGCCTTTTCCTCATCATTGAAATTCCTTCTTTCACATTTTGTATGTCAATATTCCCATCGCCACATATCTTAGAAAGAACAATCTCTTGAAGATGTACTAACCCAAATTTCATTGAATTCTCTCGCACATCCTCAAGAAAACACAGACCTTCAAACTGGTCACCAATTGAATTATATACTCCTAGAGCAATGGTAGTTTTCCCAATTCCACCTATACCATGGATGCCTACCATCTGGACTAGATCATCAGACTCAAGACTCAGAAGTGATTTTACTTTACCCACTCGAGACTCCAATCCAACAGGGTAATCAGCAACACGTAAAGAAGCGCGTGAAAACACACGAGAAATCATGCTCTGGACTTTCTTAACGGTACTCTCAATAAATTCATGTTCGTATCCACCCCTGCTCAATCAGAGAAACTTGCGTGAAGATAATTTGGATAATCAGTTTAATTAAAAGCTTTTATAGCATAATAGCTTATCATATAAATGTATATGTATAGTTTATTTCTATGACAAGAGATAAAATAAACTCAAATTGTTTTCACATAAACCATCAATTATTTTTAAACTATCTTTGAGAGGTTATGGAAGTGGAAGTCATACCCGAAATGAAAGCCACTGAGGTTAGCTGCATTGTGCAGTGCCATCCTCCATTTCTGTACTTTCTCGACACCATCGTTCACGAACCTCTTCTCATGCTTAGCCAGTGCTTCTCCGTAGCTTGCTCTCCCGTGTCGCACATCAGAAGGATCCATTTTATAAAAAATGGGAAAAACCACGCGGCCATTCTTCTTGTCATGTTCATAGCAATCTAGGATCGCAGTGAGTTCTTCCAGGCACCCAGTAGAAAAGGCATAGTTGTTAGAGAATATAATTATGACAAACCTGGATTGTTGTATTTCCTTCAAAAGCCGTCGACTGGGTCCGTCGTCTTTAAGAAGCACGCCGTCGTCAGCGAAGGTACGGATCCCTCTCTGATTTAGAGCTCTGTAGAGAGATCCAGTAAAACTATAGCGCGTATCTTCACCTCTGAAGCTGAGATACACGTCGTATCTGTAGGTAGAGGAATCTTGTAAAGCCATTAGATGGAGTGAAGATGATGAGTTTCAGATTGCTCCAAGTCAACGCAGCAAGCAGATTGATAGAAATGAATGCCAAACTACCTTTGCTTATTTTGGTCAATAAATAAATCATCTCATTTGCATTCAAAATGTGAGAGCATCCTAACAAAAGAAGGCCAAGTTGCCTTAATAATAAATAAATTACTTTCTCTTATTAAAATATTTAATCCAAACACACTCTTAAGATCTATTTAGTGCAAATGAGGGGGAGAAAAGAGATTTTAATAAAGAGAAAGGAAAGGGAGATGATGAATTTTCTAAATTATACATATGTTTGATTCAAAAGAGGAGAAGGAGGTGAAATAGATAAATTTTAATTAAAGATATGTTTGATTTACAAGGAAAAAGAAGAGATTTTACTAATAAATTTCATTTTTATCCTAATGACTTTATATAAATGATGGGATATTCAAAATTGAAAAATTGAAAAATTATTTTTTGTTAATAGTTTTTTTAACTTACCACATAACATTAAACAAAATTTAGTACACTTAATTCGTATTATAACTCTCAAAAACAAATTAAACTATGTGTTGATAATAACTTTTAAATACATAAAATGACTTGTGTGTGTGAGTGTGTGTGCGTGTGTGTGTGTGTGTGTGTGCGCGTGTGTGTGCGTGTGTGTGCGTGTGTGTGTGTGCGTGCATGTGTGTGTGTGTGCGTGCATGTGTGTGTGTGAGCGTGTGTGTGTGTGTGCGTGCATGTGTGTGTGTGTGCGTGCATGTGTGTGTGTGAGCGTGTGTGTGTGTGTGCGTGTGTGTGCGTGTGCGTGTGTGTGTGTGTGCGCGCGTGTGTGCGCGTGTGTGTGGGCATGTGTGTGCGCGTGTGTGCGTGTGTGTGTGTGTGTGTGTGCGAGTGTGTGTGTGCGTGTGTGTGTGTGCGCGTGTGTCCACGTGTGTGTGCGCGTGTGTGTGTGCGCGTGTGCGCGTGTGTGTATGTGCGTGTGTGTGTGCATGTGTGTGTGTGTGTGCGCGTGTGTCCACGTGTGTGTGTGCATGTGTGTGTGCGTGTGTGTATGCGCGTGTGTATGCGCGTGTGTGCGCGCGTGTGTGTGTGTGTGTGTGTGGGTGTGAGTCATATGATAGTGTTTGGTTATGTGTGTTATAAACATGTTCCAGATGCTAAAAATAAGGAAATCGGGTGACAGAAGCTGAGTTATGTTACTTGTAGGGTACCATAGTACAAATGCTTATAGGTGCGAGTGAAACTTTCTGTTCTATGTGTTTTGAATGACGTCAAAACTAAGATAATTTAGCGTTAATGTATATTTGACAATATCTTCTAATTTTAGATGTGCATCTAAGCATTATGAAGCATTAAAATGGTTTGGAAAAGGTTCATGCATCATACATGCATTGAAAACAAGGTTTTTGTAAAAAAAAAAGCATTGAAAAACAAGTTTTTGTGAAAATAATACATCATAGGTGAACACATACATGTTTAAGTTGACCTACAAAAGTTTGAACTTCAATATAGACCGACACATAGCCATCTTAGGTAGATACCCATGCATCAATAATAAAGCTTGTAGCCACCGTCTATAGGCTGGCCAACTTAGGTCGACACATAGTCAACACAAGACATCAATAGGTCAACCTATTTGCTTTGATAGGTCGACCTATAACTTATATAGGTCGACACATGCGATGCAATTCTTCAAAGTTTCATATTTTTTTCCATTCCTTTGCATTCCATCTTGCTTCCAAACTTGCATACATATAAATACTGATACATGCATCTTTTTCTAGAAAGTTTCTACGAAACCATAATTTCAAAGCATACTCATCATCTTCAACCTCTCTTTTATACATAAACATAATCAAATTACACATATTTATTTTTTGATTGAGTAACCATATAGATTAGGGTTGATAACGTCTAATTAGGTTGGTGTACCAAGAATATTGGGTTGAGTTCTTTGAGGGTTTCAAATAACAAAACTGAGCAGGGGTTTTCCATCAAGATCGTTAAGGATTTGAAGGTTTTGGACAAGATTAAGAAATTTGGATCCGATCGAGTGAAAGCCTTGGGACAAGGTGGTTCCTTGCAAGGGAATATCGAAAAGATCCCCATAAAAAATTATCGTAAATCATTACTTGAGTTGGAGATGCTTTAGATTACATGAGAAGTGTCAGTAGAGAGGTTCTTAACTGTGTTCTTATTTTAAGCATATTTCTTTGATTAATGAAGAAGAAGAATCAAATGTTTGTAATCTTTGTTAGAGATGGTTCTTTTTGTGTCTAATTTATTGGCCATTTTGGAATCTGAAGAAGGGGAAGGTTGAGGAGTTCTGGTACAGTATCTCAGGGGAAACCCATGTTTAAAGTAACAATTATCCATTGTGTTATTATTTTGTTGCAATGAGTGCATAACATGGGTTTTTTTAGTGATATCTTCCTCTACCGCGTTTAGTAGAACTGGAATTATTGGCAAAGAAGATGGTGGAATCAAGGGAAGAAGGTTGAGATACAACGACTTATTGTTGAACAATGAATGAGGGAATATACATGACTAGTGCTCGGAATGACGTCCAAAAGCAAGATTTGGGTCCATATGTTGTGGTGAGTATCATTCAAACCTTTGAGGAAGCGGGACACATACTCCATGTGTTTGCAGTGGCAAATGGATTTGACAAGATAACAGGTACAAGGATGGGGAAAGAGAAAGATGTGGTAGGATGAATAAATTCAATTTTGTCCCATAGTATCTTCAGTTTAATGAAGTATTGTGAGAGCGGTCTATCACCTTACTTGATAGAATGAAGGTCACGAAGGAGATCAGAGAAGCGAAAATCATTGCCTTTGGTGAATCGTTTGCGAAGATGTGGTAGGATAAATAAATTCAATTTTTTCCCATAGTATCTTGAGTTTAATGAAGTATTATGAGAGCGGTCTATCACCTTACTTGATAGAATGAAGGTCGCGAAGGAGATCAGAGAAGAGAAAATCATTGCCTTTGGTGAATCATTTGCGAAGATCTCCAAAGAGTTTAAAGTAGGATTAAAAAAAATTGTACTTTGAGGAATATGAGGAGATAAAGTTTTGTAGATCCAATAAAGCACCATGATGTTGGCTTGATCCCACAATTCAAAACTAGGATAAGATGAATCTAGTTTTGTTAGGGTTTCATTGATGAAATAAAGCTTGTTTTTCGATATCAAAACGCATCACAAGGATCTGCTCCAATTAAGGATGTCAATTTGACCCATCCTCATTGGGTACCCAAAAAAATTACCCACAACGGGAAGGATAAAAAATTTCAAAATGGACACGAGCAAGGGTAGAAGCAATCACCCATTAAAATAAGCGACTATGGGTGTGGGTCCAGGTACCTTAGTACCCACTCGTCCCATACCTGCACTATATATATATATATATATATATATATATATATATATATATATATATATATATATATATATATATATATATATATATATATATATATATATATATATATATATATATATATATATATATATATATATAATGCACATGTATGTTTATCAATTTTATTAAATACATCACTATTAAACTTGTACATAATTTAATATAACTATTTGTTTATTTCTTAACTCAGCAATAACATCATTGAATTTTTTTAATGTTGTTAAAAACTCAAAATGATATGAAAATTTATAATTGATTGATAATGTTTTTTTATTAGCAATGCATGTAACCGGGTATGGGTATGAGTACTTAGCTACCCATATGGTATGGGTACATGTACAAATGTCGGTGCCCACACGGGTATGAGCTCTACTACGAGGGTTTTTTCAAATTATGGATATAGGGACGAATACTATAGTATCCTTCCCAAACCTTGCCCATTGTCATCCCTAGATCCAATTGCGATAATTTTGATCATCAAGCAATGGAAAAACGAGGATGGAACTTGGGTTTTCACTGGGATGCGAGTAGAAGGGGCTTCTAGGATTTAGGGATGAGTATTTGGGAACAATAATGGTGGAATTGTTATTGTTGATCGAATTAGAATAAGAAATGCTATACGTAGGCATGGTGATTGAAAGGAAGAGGGGTTGCAGAAGAACCCTAATGGAAAAAGTGGAAGCATGAATGAAAAAAATTAAAGAGGCTTAGATCATTCTTGCTAATTGATACCATATTAAACATCAAGACTCTTATGTGTTACTGGAGAAACTCATGATGAAATACCTATTAAGCTTATTGTAATAATGAACCATTAAAAGTAAAAGTTCTTACAAAGGAAAGATAAGTGTTGTATATATATACTTGGTATGTAACTAACTAACAAAGTATTGCCTAGCAATAGCAAACTAACAAATTGATAATAAAAAACAGTTAAGTTATAATCAAGTTTCTAATACTATTAGACATAACTGTTAAACATATTTTTTTTCTCTCTCACGAGAGAAAAAAATCTCATACTTGCCTCTTTCTTACTACTACAAAAAATATATTTAACTTTGGACGCAAAGTTGATTTAACCTCAATATAAAAGCGAGGTAATGAATGACGTCATGAAAAGCTGTCACTTTTTTTAGAATAAACAAGAGGATAATTGAAATGATCATTTGTTCGATCCCCATCAATAATTTTTTATATTTTTCAAAACTAGTGTCGTATACCCAAATAATTTTCTACTTTTGCAATCCATCATAGAGACAAATTTTCAAATAAAATATATATTTTTTATTAAGTTTCAAAATTTTCATGTCAAATGCTTCGTTATAAATTTTTAATATTCATAATGCTTTTATAATGAGGGTTTTAAGTTTCACACGAATTACTAGTGACAATGTCTTGAGTACCGATACACATTAAATGGACAACAAGATTTGCTTAAGGACGATAAAGAAACCGAATAAACACACTTATATTTTACCTCGATTATTATTCAAAATCGAGGTAAAATATGTTTCTTTTAAAATAAAAATATAATAAAATATATTTTATCCCAAACGTCACATACCTCTCGGTTTCTGTAAAAAACCGAGGGAAATTTTTTTTTTTTAATTACATTGTTTACACGGAATATTAAAATGAATTGTTTAAACAAATTCAAATTTTGACAATGGATTCTTAGAGAATAACAAATCTTTTCAAAATTATGATAAGTTGTTTGTTCCTACCAAGAGAATTTTTTTTTGTACTTGCAATTCATCCCGTAAAGATTTCATTATCTAGAACAAATGTTTTTATGGAAAATGTTTTCATATGAAAGAGAACCAGCTGATTGTGTTTAGGAGTAAATTTCTCGATGTTGTCAACTAAGAAAATTAATAAATTTTTCAATGTTTTCTTTGATTGACAACATATGAAGGTTATTCTAAAAATACAACAACAACATCAACACCTCGGTTATATCTAAAAACCAATGGACTATGTGGTATTTATTATAAAAAAACATGACGCGCCTTGACATTTTATCTCGATTTTTGATTGGATGAAATAAAAAATTTGTCATAAAATATATTATTTACAGTAGTGTATTTTCTTCAAGCCACAACACACAAGCATAAATCACTCTTACACAAACACAAATCACTTTCTTTTCCTATAACCGCTAATGAAAAAACATGTTTTATTTGCATTATATAACCATTTATTTTATTTCTTTATCTTGTTGTTTCCACCAAAATACTATGTAAGAATCACGTTAGCGTAAAGAAGAAAATGATGTGAAGTTCAAAAATCTATCATCACCGTAAAGAAATGAATAGGAGTGTACACAGGTTGGGTTAAATAAAATTTGGCCTAATTTGTTACCCAATTCGTTCAAACTTTAATAGATTGGGTTCGTCGTCCAACATGCAATTTTATTGTCAAAACCGACCTGAATCGACCCGTTTATTTATGGGTTGGGTTCGCGGGTTATGTCTCAAATAAAATAAAATAAAATATATAATTTTTTTTGTTGGTTTAAAAAATGTAACACAACTCAATACAATCATATTTATTTATAACACTCAAATTCAATGAAACACATCATATAATATCTAATAAAATTAATCAACGCAACATAACATTTGATATTGATATAAAATCTAACAAGACACGTTATTTCCATAAAATAGAATTACCTAAACTCATTCATTTATTAGTATTATTGTTAGTATTATTGGAGGAGAATAATTTTTTTTTGGAAAAAAATTATGGTTATTAGTGAGATATTAAATGGGTAAACTAAGATATTTTTTGTGGGCCAAAAAGTTTTGTAGGATTTAAAAAATTTATAGTTGATTTGAGTAGTTTTTACTTTAATGATCATTGTCTATAAGAAACCAAAATTTGATCTCACTATTTTCAAATATCATGTCATTACTTTAATATTGTTGGAATATTTTATTAATTAAATAAATAATATTATAATATATTTCACATAGTTAACGTTAACTATAGATAATGGGAACTAAATTTTAGTTCACTTAGATGCCATGTCAGCACTACTATAATGCAAATTCTTTATATTTTTATTGAAAATAAAAATAAAAATAATAAAAAATTATTAAAATCACATCAATGGATTAGATTAATGGGTTTGTGGGTTGTAAAATTCAAACTTAATATCCGACCCAAAACTATATGAATTGTTATGATGTGAGTTGGATATACTCGTAAATTAATGATTTTGAATAATTTATAAATTGATTTGATTTAGATCCACGGATTCGTGAATCAACCAGTATGAATGAACACCCCTAAAAATAAAAACCTACTCGTAAAAATTAAAATCCCACAAAATCGACATCTAATAGAATTGTCACTCAAAATGGTAAAAAAATAAACCAATATCAATTTTGACTCCATAACACATGTCTACTCCGAGTGTTATTAAAATGAAAAAAAAATTATAATTAAATAATCATTTAAAGATTTTAAGTGAGTGTCTTGAAACAAATAATAATAATAATAATAATAATAATAATAAATGTTTTGAACACTATAAAATTTATACCGATAATTTTATATTTTATTTTTATAAAATAGTATTTTCAAAATATACTTATTATTTGTGTCCTACAAAGATACTATACTGTAATAATCTTGATAGTATCTTGTTAGTGTTCAATCAATCAATCTTCATGCTGCGTTGACTTTGAGGATACTGAAACTCCGAGAGCACAGTGGTATCCAATGGCTGGGCAAGCTTCGTTTTTCTACGACGTGTTCCTGAGCTTTAGAGGTGATGATACAAGATATGGTTTTACTGGAAATCTCCACAGTGCTCTTAATCAAAGAGGAATCCAAAGTTTCTTTGACGATGATGATATTCCAAAAGGAGAGGAATTAACTTCAGAACTTGTTAAGGCTATTAAAGATTCCAGGATCGCCATCGTTGTGTTTTCTAAGAACTATGCTTTCTCTAAGTTTTGTTTGAAGGAACTCACCGCAATACTAGACTGCTATGAGGAGAAGAACAAGAGTGGGCGAATGGTTTTACCGGTTTTTTACAAAGTGAACCCTTCTGAAGTTCGGTACGGGAGAGGAAGCTACGGAGAAGCACTGGCTAAGCATGAGGAGACATTCAAGAATGAGTTGGAGATCGTTAACAAATGGAGGACTTCGCTACACAAGGCGGCTAATCTCAAAGGCTTTCATTTCAAACATGGGTATATTATATATTTTCTTAACTTCTTTTTTGTAAGGATTTTGATATGATGCATTATATATGACTTGTGTGATAATGCATCAATTCTGTTAGTTGTTAGGGATTAGTAAAGAGTTTGTTAGGAGTTAGTTGCAAGTATCTTAGGAGTTTGTTAGGATTAGTAAAGAGTTTGTTAGGAGTTAGTTGCAAGTATCTTAGGAGTTTGTTAGGATCAGTAAAAAGTTTGTTAGGAGTTAGTTGCAAATATCTTAGGAGTTTGTTAGGATTAGTAAAGAGTTTGTTATAATGTATCGATCCTTGACTTGACACAACTTTTTTCTTGTAAGGCAGGGAGGGATATGAATATCAATTAATTGCAAGTATTTTTAAGGAAGTCTCCGTCAAGATTAATCGAACACTTTTACATGTTGCCAATTACCCGGTTGGATTGGAGTCTAGAGTGGATAAAGTAAACTCGCTTCTCAACGTTCCGTCGAATGATGTAGATGTCCACATGATAGGCATCTATGGTATTGGTGGAATTGGTAAAAGTACTGTTGCTCGATGTGTATATAATTCAATTAGTGACAAGTTTGAAGGTTTTTGTTGTTTTATTGAAGATGTGAGAAAGAGTTCACATAAGTATGGATTATTAAATCTCCAAGAGACAGTTCTTTCTGAGATACTTGGAGACAAGAAAATCAGGTTGGGAAATGTGCGGAATGGAATGTCGATAATAGAACAAAAGCTCTCCAATAAAAAGGTTCTTTTGGTTCTTGATGATGTTGACCAAAAAGAGCAGTTACAGGCTATTGTTGGATCACCTAATTGGTTTGGTTCTGGTAGCATCGTAATCATTACAACTCGGGATAAAGATTTACTAACGCATTATGAGGTTAAAAGTAAAGTATATGAGGTGGAGGAATTGAATGACAAAGAAGCTTGTGAACTGCTTAGTTGGAATGCTTTCAAAACTGACAAAGCTGATCCGAAGTACACCAACATTTTAAACCGTGTGTTGTGTTATGCTTCTAGGCTCCCACTGGCTTTGGAGGTAGTAGGTTCCAACCTGTTTGGAAAAGGAGAAGAAGAATGCAAACTTATATTAGATCGGTATGACAGAATTCCAGATAAAAAGATCCAGGATATACTACGAGTAAGCGTTGATTCCTTGGATGAAGATGATAAGGATGTTTTTCTCGACATTGCTTGTTGCTTCGGGGGATATAGATTGTCTGATGTTGAAAATATACTACATGCTCACCATGGTTCATCAATGAGACGTGGTATTGAGCTGTTGATTGAAAGATCTCTCATAAAGCTTGATGATGGTCTTGTGGCATTACATGAATTGATACAAGACATGGGCAGAGAAATTGTGCGACAAGAATCAAAAGAGCCCAATGAACGCAGTAGGTTATGGAACTCTGGAGATGTAGTCCAAGTTTTAGAAGAAAACATGGTAAGCCAGATTTTTCATTTGTCTCAACATAAGTGATAAATGTTCTTTTCACAGGCTTCAATCATACATATATCACCATTTTGTCGCGGCGTAACAACTTAAAACATTTGCAAAAACATCACGGTGACATATAGGACGTAATGTCAGTAAAATTTATTTACATTTTCAATGTATAGGATTAAATCATAATTATAATATGCTAGATGTATATTATCATAATGTTTTGTTGACAATAACGGTTCGTAAAATAATTATTATTTTCACAATTAGTACTCAATTTGTCTGATATATGCATTCCTAATATCTTCATGTACTGTGGTTGCCTTAAAAGGGAACTGGAAAAATTCATATGTTAATTCTGGATTTTCCCAAAGATGAAGGACACTTGAAAGGATCCAAAGGAGAAGTAGTAAATTGGGATGGAGAGGCTTTAAAGGAAATGAAAAACCTCAAAACTCTTATTATTAGAAATGGTCATTTTTCCAAAGGCCCCACGCATCTTCCAAATAGTTTAAGAGTTTTGAAATGGCATGGATATGCTTCATCATCGTTACCATGTGATTTTCATCCAAGAAAACTATGCATACTCGAGTTACCTGATAGCTCCTTAAAGCCTTGTGAACCAATCCAGGCAAGTGTGTTCATGTGTATCGTTGTATGTTTATGAATTCATATCAAATTCGTATGATTACTTATATAGCTCATTTATATTATTATTATTTATTGATTTCGCAGGCATTTGCATATTTGAGAATTTTGGATTTTAGCTACAGTGAATATATAACTGAGATACCTGATGTATCTGGTCTCCCGGATTTAGAAAAATTGTCATTTAAACATTGTGAGAATTTAACTAAAATTCATGACTCAGTTGGATATTTGGGAAGTCTTAAGATATTGGATGGTTCTAGTTGCATGAATCTTAATACTTTTCCACCCATCATATTGACCTCTCTTGAACAACTCAATCTTTCACATTGCTCGAATCTCGAGAGTTTCCCAGAAATATTGGGAAAAATGGAAAATATAACAGAACTTCATATAATGGGGAGTCCAATAAAAGAACTGCCTTTTTCAATTCAAAACCTCACCCAGCTTCGAAAGTTGGAACTACAAATCTGTGGAATGGTTCAGTTGCCTAGCTGCGTTTTCATGTTGTCAGAACTAAGTTTGATGCATGTTTCAAAATGCGAAGGGCTGTGGTTATCGGGACAGGACAGAGGTAATGAAATGCCGCTCAAGTCTTCAAATGTGGACCGTCTTATTCTCACTGACTGCAATATATCCAATGACTTCCTTCCAATAGGTCTTAACATTTTTTCCAATGTCAAAGATTTAAACCTATCAGGCAACAGTTTCACAACTGTTCATGCATGGATCAAAGAATGTCACTTTCTGAGGAACCTTAAGCTGGATAATTGCAGTAATCTACAAGAAATTAGTGGGATTCCAAAGAAATTAGAAACACTTTCTGTGAAAGGATGCACATCCTTGAAATGCTTGGACCTCACAGTTCTTCCTGCATGCACTGCAGAATCTTGTTCTTTGAAAGAACTGATTTTGGATGATTGTGTGTATCTTCAAGAAATTGCATGGCTTCCACAAAACTTGGATGTGCTCTCTGCAAAAAACTGCACAGCATTGACTTCCCAGAGTATAAACATGTTAATGAATCAGGTTCTTTCCTTATCCTATTTAATTCCTATAGATGTCAAAATGTTTGGTTAACATGTAACAGTTTTAAACTTATGACTGACAGAGAGGGGTGCAGGCTGGAAACAAGATGTTTGTTTTCCCCGGAAAAAAAATTCCAGAGTGGTTCCGGCATTGTTTAAGTGTGAAAAAGGCTCATGCCTCGAGAGTTGTTAGAAAACAAGAAATCGCAGGGTCGTTTTCTTTCTGGTTTCGCAACAAATTTCCTGCGATTTCTCTCTGTCTTGTTATTGGACTGGGGAATGAGCAACCTATCACGGTCAATTTTAGCCCCCGAGTATTCGTCAACGGCCATAAGCAGTGCATTGGCGGTCAGAAGGTTTACAACTTCATCATAGCTACTGATCACGTACTTCTGCTGAATTTTGAAGATAGTGGCGACATAGTGTTTTCAAATAATGAGTGGAATCATGTAGAGGTTTCATATGCTGATCATATTACCAACAATGAGGTACCAATCAGACAGATTGCCAGATATAGTGGAATACATGTATTTAGACAAACAACTGATCCAGGGGATTTCTGTTTCATGAATCCTCCACAAACAGTGATAAATGTGAATCCAAATCCAATTTCAATTGCTGTGCTTCCACCTCCAATTGCTGCTGCGGAAAAAAAAGATATGGCCTCTAAACCATTAGTTCCGGCTAAGAGGTCTTTAGAGGATGTAGTCGGAGAAACTTCAGAAAGGACTCAAGAGGAGGAAGTTCATCCTACTACAATTTCAAATGGTCATCCTGTCATTCAAAGTTGTCGTGAGGGTGATGATATTGAACTGGAAGGGGTATCCTCTTCTGACTCGGATGATCCGTTTGATCGCGTTGATAGAAGACTCGGTATTAGTTCCGAGGAAACCATGTCTTCTGCATCAAGTTCTGGAGTTGCTTCACTTGGATCAATTAGAGAGGCTATTAACTCCTTGGAGCTTTTAATGGTTAAGGACTTATCTGAATTCTCTTGTGATCCTGATACACAGAATGAACTTCTTCAACTGTTGGATCTACTGAGTACAAGTAGCCACCCCAAGGTAACTTTAGAGGTGAAGGAGGCTATTGGAGAGTTTAAAAGAAAGTCGTTTTTATCATTCCAAGAATTCCAATCCACTGTTGAGTCTGTGAACAAACTGAAGAATTTTGAGAAGCATCTAGATAGAATTCAGCAGGAGACTATGGAAGGAAAGGGTCAAAGGAAGCACCTCAAAAGCTCAATAAAAAAGGTTTCTTTGGGCATCAAGGCCGAAAATAGTAGGAAAAAGGAGTTGGATGAAGAAACTGCAACTTTAAGAATACAGCTAGCCAAAAAAGAAAGGGACCTAGAACAACTTGTGCTGAATCTCAAGAATCAGGAGGAATCACTCTCAACATTTTCAACAAATTATGCTTCTCTCAACGAGCAAGCTCGAGCGCTACTAAAAGAAGCTGATGATCTACTTGCTGCGAGCAGTTGGGTAAAGCATGAGGGTGAAGTCGCTGAAGTCGAGCAGGATAGGCTCAAGTCCATCTGGTCTATTGGCCTAACCAGCCAGTTTAATGAGATTAAAAAGACTCTTTTTGACTATGATGTGTAGGATATAGTGTGTTTTTTTCTAGTCATTTTATCAAGAACAACCAGGAAACCAATGTAATAAAGGAAATATTTGGCTTTGCAGTGTGTTTTTTGGTAAGCTATCATTGAAAAATAGTGCTAGTGTGTTTCATTCTCTCTTATCAATCTTCATCTTTTCCATTCATTCATTTTAATCAAAGGTGCAAAGTGTGTGTGTGGAAGAACAAAGCTGAATAAATCTCGTGTGCATCATTTATGTGACTACACCAGTGCATTTACTCTACCGCCGTGACTGCTTTGATGACAATGTTTGATTAAAGATGCATAAGACACTTGATCAAACTATCCGAAGAGTTAAGATCTAATGATCAAATATCATATTTATTCATCTTTGTGGAGCAGCGTGAAGGGATCTTTTGATGAAATTATACAGAACTCTAGTTGGCTTTTTAGAAATGGCAGGAGCATAAAATTTTGGTTGCATAAGGAATGACTCTTCGGTAGTGGACTCTCTAGGCATTAATGATGGTAATTAAGATTTCATAAATGATAGAGTTTCCGATAACATTTCGAATCAGGAATGGAAATTTCCTCAGAGTATTATTATGAAGTTTCCACCTCTCACTAACCTTCTTTCTAAAGTTCACATTCCCATTGTTAAAAAGGAAGATGATTGTATTTGGAGCCCTATTAATGATGGTATCCTCACCATAAGGTTGCTTATAGGTTCAAACATGATGTTGCTCCAATTCTGACTTGGGGGAAATTTATATGGAATATTCACATCTCAGCTTCTAGCTCTTTGCTATTTTGGAGACTTCTTCATCATAAAATTCCCACTGATGAAAATATGGCCACTAGAGGCTTGAATATCCTTTCCATATGCAGTTTTTGTTTGGCGTTGAACATATACTCTTTTGCTCATACCAAGTTGGTAGTGTTAGCTACTATAATCAATACTATTAATGTAATCTGGCAGGCTAGGAACAGACTCAAGTTTAACAACATCATAACTCATTGGAAGACGACTTTCAATGTCATTATTGCTGAGGTTTCTCGCGAGTAATACTACTCTCAAAATCGATTCTATTTCTATGTTGGATTTCAATATTCTTTATTGCTTCAATGTGAAGTTAAATCCTCCCAAATCTTGTATAGTGAAAGAGTTTATCTGGCAGTCCCCTATTCTAAATTGGGTAAAATTTAATAGCGGCTATCTGTGGGAGTTCTGAGAGTTGTTGCTTGCGGTGGTATTTACGGGAATCATCTTGGTAGTTTTTTAACGAATATTGTGATAGGGAATGCTTTCATGGCAGAGCTTACGGCTGCTATGGTGGATATGGAGATTGCAAGAGACAAAAACTGGAATCATCTCTAGTTAGAATTCGATTCAAAATTGGTTGTTGTTGCGTTCAAAAAATCTTATATAGTTCCTTGGAGCCTGTGAAACAGGTGAGAGAATGTTTTGCATCATACTAGATCCATTCATTTTTTTATAACTCATATTTTTAAGGAAGATAACCATTGCGCGGACAAATTTGCTAACATAAATGTACATGATTTTACATTGTGAAATGTAGTTCATAGGAATATTCTTATGGATTTTGTTAGAAATTCCATAGATATCTCTCTTACTATAGAATTTGTTAATAAGAGATTTTGTTTTGGTATTCCCTTATTTTTGTCTCAATAATTACATTTTTCTTTCTAATATATTTTGTGATGGTCTTGTACCACCTTCTTTTTTTAAAAAAAGAGTTAAATATGGATATCTCTAACAAATCATAAATTTTAGTTAAATAGAGATATCTCTAGCCAAAATGAATTTAAAACTATCATAATGAGATAACATTTACATTCTAAACAATTGTAACAAAACATTTGTATACATTTAATACTTAGCGTACCCAATAAATTTGTATCAAAATCTTTCAATCTTTGTTTAACTAACATATTTCCTTTATTTTTCTTATTCTTAACTCATTTTTCCCAAATCCTTTCCTTTGATTACTAATAGTAATAACTCGACTTCACACAACTTTTTTCTTGCAAGGCATGGAGTGATATGAATATGAATTAATTGCAAGTATATCTTTAAGGAAATCTCCCTCAAGATTAATCATACATTGTTACATGTTATCAAATACTCTGTTGGATTAGAGTCTAGGAACTAAAATATTTTCTTATTTTTAATTGTATATTATCAAGACATACATGTTTTTAACGAACAATCAAGAGTTTGAAAGTATTTAAGATTAATTCAAAAAATTTTGAGATCGGTTTTGTATGAAAACTTTTACTATAATATAAGTGTAAGACGTAACTACAAATGTCTAGTTGAGGCAGTATGAAAATAGACTAAGATGATGCTGACTGCTCAATAAACTACTTAAAGACTAATAATGGGTGAGAACTTAAAGTTGTGGTATAGCTGTCATACCCTAAATTTGTTTTACTCTTTTTCAGCTCTTTTTTTCTTCTTTTTTGCATTAATTGCTTAATTTCTTGGTCATGTAGACACGTGTCTGTTTGCCATTGGGCGTATTCCAAATTTTATCCATTTTTGTCCAATAAGAGCATGACACGTGGCTAAAGTTTCTTTTGAAACTTTCTTTTTTATTTTGTTTCTTTTTCTTTTCTTTTTCTAAAAAAAAAACAACTTTAATAAATAGTATATATCTTGTTTTACATTTTTAATATATTAGTTTATAATAATATTAAGTAATTTAATATTTCGTTTTAGTTTGTTTTATAATAGGTGTAAATATGTTAATTTAGTTTGTAGTTATATATTTTTGTTATTATTTAGTAAAAGCTGTTATTGGAGTTTTGAAAGAGAATTAAGAGAAGAGGTTGAGTTGTTGAATGAAAAAGAGCAAGGCCCATTTGTTAGTAATCCATTAGGGTTGCAGTTGGATTTAAAAAGAGGAATTGGTGGGTTCACAAAAGAAACCCTAATTTTCGGAGACTATTCATCGTCTCCTCGAAACAAAAAGCAGCCGCAGCCCTTCGGAAACCCTAATGGCGCCGAAAAAACCTCCTTCTCCCTTCACTCACAAATCTACCATTGAATCCTTCAAACACGCCGCCGCATTTTCTTCTTCACCTCCGAATCTTCAAGCTATGGCAGGACTTGCACCTGAGGGGTCACAATTTGATGCTGGGAAATTTGATGCCAGAATTAATGACTTAATGGCTGGTGATGGAAATGAGTTCTACACTATTTCTGATGAGGTTTGTGAAAGTTTTGATGCTATGGGCTTGCAAGAGAATCTCCTCAGAGGAATTTATGCCTATGGTTTTGAAAAGCCATCTGCCATTCAGCAAAGGGGAATTGTTCCTTTCTGCAAGGGACATGATGTTATTCAACAGGCTCAGTCTGGAATTGGAAAGACGGCAACTTTCTGCTCTGGTGTTTTGCAGCAACTTGACTATAATGTGACCCAGTGCCAGGCATTGGTTTTAGCCCCAACTCGTGAGCTTGCTCAGCAGATTGAGAAGGTTATGCGGGCCCTTGGAGACTATCTAGGTGTTAAGGTGCATGCTTGTGTGGGAGGTACAAGTGTTCGTGAAGATCAACGCATTCTATCAAGTGGTGTCCATGTTGTGGTTGGTACTCCTGGTCGTGTGTTTGATATGTTGCGCAGACAGTCTCTTCACCCGGATTACATCAAGATGTTTGTGTTGGATGAGGCTGATGAAATGCTCTCTCGAGGTTTCAAAGGTCAGATCTACGATATATTTCAGCTGCTGCCAGGTAAGATTCAAGTAGGGATTTTCTCTGCTACAATGCTTCCTGAGGCATTTGAAATCACAAGGAAGTTTATGAACAAACCTGTGAGGATCCTTATGAAGCGGGATGAGCTCACCTTGGAGGGTATTAAGCAGTTTTATGTCAATGTTGAGAAAGAGGAATGGAAGCAGGACACACTCTGTGATCTTTACGAGACATTAGCAATCACTCAGAGTGTCATTTTTAACACTAGAAGGAAAGTTGATTGGTTGACCGACAAGATGCGAAGCCGAGCCCATACAGTCTCGGCTACTCACGGAGACATGGATCAGAATACCAGGGACATTATTATGCGTGAATTTCGGTCTGATTCTTCTCGTGTTCTCATTACCACTGACCTCCTGGCCTGTGATATTGATGTGCAGCAAGTGTCTTTGGTTATCAACTATGATCTCCCAACTCAACCTGAAAACTATCTTCGCCGCATTGGTCGTAGTGGGCAATTTGGAAGAAAAGAGGAGCTGCCATCAAATGTTGCTGACTTGCTCTGATGAGTTGCGACTCCGCCGAAAATGTTGCTGACAAGCTGTTGGAGTAGTTGGTTGCATTATCATGCCCCACAACGTGTTCTTGCATTCTGCACTTGTTCAATCAAGACAGGGTGACCCGAAAAAGAAAGGCCTGTTCAAGCATCACGACGACAACCGCGGCTGATATCATGCCGAGTTCTACTCAAAAGGGTTCCGTTTTAAAAATCCCACAGTCATGATGATTATTCTGTTATTAATTTCACGTGCAGGTTCTGAAGTAGATTCGATACTTGAGTCGACTACGTCCAAGATTTGAAAGCAAGATGGTCCCACCGGAACAGCGATATCCCAATGGCAGAATCAACAACAGCAACAATTTTTCTTTTAAAAGAACTTCACAACATCACCAAGTCAACTCAGCAGCAAGTTTGCAGAATAACTCGACATGGTTTGAGTCTCTACTGTATCATAAGCTCTCATCGGCAACAGCTCGCATTTTTTCGTGTTCACACAAGTTGTAGATTCTGTTTGCAAGTGATTAGATGAGATTTCTAAGTTTTTATAGAAGCAAAACATGATGCTATCCTAATGCTGCTACTTGAGTTGTGTAAAACATGCTTTTATGGTGAGCTCATTGCTGAGGATATCTAGTTTTCTTCTGTTTTCAACAAGGAACTCATTATCTCGCCACTGATAGAGTTGATAATGAAGGACTCAGTTCAGAGACGACTTCGGGTTTTGCGGTAATCACTAATTCCA